TAAAAATTGTCCCTCGTATCCCTACTCCCTATAGAATCGTTCCGTCTCTATATCGCTCCGAACTAAGCCCGAAGAAGAAGGCCTTTAGGTCATCCTAACCCTAACCCTAACCCTAACCCTAACCCTAACCCTAACCCTAACCCTAACCCTAACCCTAACCCTAACCCTAACCCTAACCCTAACCCTAATAACGACAAAAGTTCGTTTATGACATTAAAAATTGTCCCTCGTATCCCTACTCCCTATAGAATCGTTCCGTCTCTATATCGCTCCGAACTAAGCCCGAAGAAGAAGGCCTTTAGGTCATCCGTGCCTATATCCAAGGTCGCAGGGTAGTCCGGCGGGGACCCTCTCATTTTGTCTCGTCGGCCCCAACTCATACCTACATATATCCCGTCGGTCATAACCGACCACCACTGACGGGCTCCAGTCGTCTTTACGGTAGCGATGAAGGTACCATTCGTATCAAGGTAAGGAACGACCCAATGATATCGAAAAAACTCAAGCTTAAGAAGGTTGGTCCATTGCTCGAGGAGGCTAGGTCGTCCCGCTGCCAAGGCATCGTGGACCTTGTCTTGCATGATCCTAAAGGGCTTTTGCTGGAAGTACTTGCGTTTGCGCCCTTCGTGGACCCCTTATATCCACTAGAATAGATCTTCAGGAGTCTTTATACCCGTCTTGTTGCTCTAGATCAGTTTAGGTTGATCAATTAGGGTATTAAATAGACCATCGTAACTGAATCGTATATTGTCGGTATCAAAGTCGTCATCTTTAGGTTATAGAAATTCCTTCTTGATCGCCTTCACAATGTCTCGGCGATACTTACGTAGGCAGAGATAGGCGACGAGGAGAAGCGCTTCGTATTGGGCGGTATATATAGAAGAGGGATCTTGCAGGGCGGCAAAGCATAGCTATAGGGAGTTGTCCGTATCTTGGAGGAGCTGGCCACTACGTGTATACCACCGAGATAGATTACGGTCGCCACGGACGACCTCCGAGCTTACATCAACCTTAAACGTCAACGCCTCCCAGTCAATAATAGGTCGAAGCCATCCATAGCCGTATTCTACGATTGCATCTTAGATACCGAGACCCTAGACCTAACCGTCCCTAGACTATCGAACCGAGTAGGACAAGAGGGCATCGCGAGACGGGTCACAGCTCGATAGTCGGGCGATACATTTTAAGAGGGCGGCTATACACTTCGATCGCTCGAAACTAATGCCGGTATTAGGGCTGGTCACACTCGCCACTTCGACTGCGATGATATACTTATCGTAGTTATTCAAGATAAACCGACACTAGCTATCGGCTCGAATAACCCAAGCGGCCGAGGGAGTCTCGTCAAGTATAATATCCAACCCACCTTCCTCTTCTCTAAGACGAGCCATCTCCCTAAGACGGAGGAGGACGGCATAGACGGTCCGACCTTCCCAGCGAGTGACAAACGCCACCTTGGCGTAGTCCGAATAGAAGTCGTATATACGGCGCTTACACCCAACGAAGCTCCGGAGCAAAAATTCGCGACGTCGTAAATCTCCATTACCCTACCGCTTGGCGTGAGCCGCCTATACGCGGGCGTCGATAGCTAGTTTAGTGAGACCCTCGTTGGTGAACGTATATAGCGACCCAGCATTAGATATCTCCTTCGAGGCCGAGTACCACTGACCGTAATACTACCCGCTACAATACGTAGGCGACCGTACGGGAGGCTCGACAATTATATTAGCGGTGTCCCGTAAGAAGCATAGATAATATAGGCATATCTACCCCAATTGGCCACCGAAGTAGCCGTCACGGAGCCTCGCATATTTAGATCGTAGATAGCAAGTCTTCCAGAAGAGGACGGCCTTTTCATCGCTCTAGGTCGACACGAACGGATATCGTATAGGGCTCAGCGGATACACCTCTCGAGCGATATCGTGCACTATATATTGCATAAGCTCGAAGTCGAAAATTCCCTCGAGATAGGTAAGATATCGGTCGATAGCCTAATAGAGCGATCTAGTCACCTTAAAATCTAACTTAAACCCCTTGGCATTAATTAAGAGGAACGTATCTTAAAATTCAGTAAGCCGGAATCTCGGGTCGTCGAATATACGGTTCATCTTAGTCTACACTTGTTCTAGGCCGTCTAATGGTATATAGTAGGTAAATGAAACCTTAAGACCCTGTTCGCCGATACGCTGTTGATGCTCGATGCCCTTAGCTTAAGCCTTTAACTCCCTAACCTACTACGACGGGGGCACCCACTATAGGCAGTCCTCCTCGATATACTTCCGAACGTAAGGGAGCAAGGCCTAGTCGACAAACCTCTATACCATAGCAGCGAGGAGATAGGTAAAGCGCTTTCTCTTTTTCTTCCTAGGCTCCCCTCTACCTCTATAGTCGATGGTTAACATCAATCGAGGGAAGAAGATATAGAGGGAGCAGTCAAATAGCCCATCAATAGATCCTAGGTATATATATGGGATATCGCGGAAATGATATATCCACTACATCAACTTCCCCTTCGGACCAGAATAAAGAACCCTACGTTTAATGTATAGACTGCTGCGGATGCCACGCGAGAGATTGTAGCTAGGACAAAAGCGGAATCCCTTACGTAACGCGTCTAACGAGGACGGAAATCCAAGGAAGCTATCGACGTCAAAGGAAATTTTGGCCCCAGCGCGAGGTATCTCTTCCGAATGGAGATAGACCTACGATATCGGCGTCTCCTCGTCTAGACGTCCTTCGAAGAGAGACCGCAACGTAGAGGCTGCGAGGTATATATGCCGGGCGTATCCCTCGTTAGATAGAAATCCGTTATAACGAAGACCAACTCGAGGATGCGATCCGAGTCGTTACCGTCCGCGTTCGTCGAGATATATAGCCGAGAGATCGCAGTGGTTGTCCAACCCATCGGCTATGTGGGATATAGAGTCGTCCTTATATTGCTCGGGCCTATATCTACAATCGCCCATAAGAAGGCGAAAGATTTCTTCTATTACAATATCGACGTCGTCTACGTCGGGAACATCGAAATCGTCTATTATAGACCTATCTAGTGTGGACCCGATAGAGTCATTGTCGGTAGTAGCCTCGTCACTACTCTCGTTACTACTCTCGTTACGGCTATCGTCACGGCCATCGTCACGACTATCGTCGTCGGTATAGAGACCCTAAAATTCGAGAGACGGCCGTAGACGAGAAGCCCCTAGAGTTGGGATACAAGACGCTAGCCGATAGGCTCTTTATCGTAGGCTCGACCGTATAGGTATAGACTCGATGAGCGAGGGGCCTACCTCGTCGTCGTAGTCCTAGTTCAGCCCCATCACAGTATCATCGCCAATAGGATATATAGCTAGATAGGGATAATCGGCCAGGGTTTCGGTCTCCCTTATATACCCGTCTTTTTTCTCCTCCTTAAAATATTCTCCATTTTTGGGCTAGATAAGGGGTAGAACTACGCTAGGACCTAGGCGCCGGTGGGGATCCGTATACTAGGAGTAGGTGGGGGAGTCTAGGGGCGACTCGGGAATCTCGATAGGATAAGACGAGTCTCCAAGGATATGAAACTATAGATAGTTAGAGAAAGTGTGCTTGACCATATCTTACTAGCCAAGTAAGGTGACAGACCGAGAAGGGGGTAGCTATCGATGTACATAGAGAGACTAGTGGTTGAAAGGCCCCAGTCCTATTCTCCAACCGATATAGCCTCGCCGAATCTCGTGTGGTTAAGGGTGCAGTCTCTACCGAGCTTCGTATCGATCGAAAGGCGGTAGACTCCGAGTTACTGGAAGAACCGAAATAGGGGCTAAATATTTGTCGATACTGGCCACCTAGGCGTAGTGGTCGACAACGATAGGATATTGGTGATCTCGACGTCCTTCCTAAGGTGGACGAAGCCATTGAGGATAAAATGGAAACGATAACAATATCACTCAAAAAGGGCTCTCCAGCGGATAGTACTTTAGGGAAGGGAGTTAAAGGTTAGAAGTATAAGGATCCTAGGACGCGAGAAGAGGAGGATACGTCTTTTATAGGGTTATGCCATATACGCCCTTAAAATAAGTTCAAACAATCGCCGCTTTAAAGGACTCTAGCATATTAATATACCAGTGTTAACGAGCAACGGGCTAGGCGTCTTAACAATCTCGTAGTAAGTATAAAACTTAACTCTATTATATATTACTACCACAAGATAGGTAGACGAGTTACAAAGCATTATTCGTCGATCACATCAGATCCAGCCGACGCTATCGATACTTCCTCGATTCTATCATCATTATCTACCGCGTCAGATCCATCCGAATCCGTAGAGTCAACTTCGGCGATTCGTCCCCGTATACCCGTCAACGCCGAGTCCATATACTCCTCTAGTAACTTATCTAGAATTAACGAGAGTTCCATCATCGGTAGACTCTTATAAGCGAGAATAGATTATAGGATCGTAGTGTCGAGCATTTGATAAAGTCAACGAAATTCTAGGTTGATCGACCCGAAGAGCTCGTAAATATACGCCATTCTTTAATTGCCCCATTTGTATAGCCTAGAGATTATTAGCCAAGATAAAAACTAAGGTAGCAGAGGTAAGGGAATAAACGAACTTCCGACTACGTAATAGCGGGATAAGGATAATAACTCCAGGACTTCCAACGACGGACACGAGACCCTGCGTTGCCTAAACACCCAAAACAAAGTTCCAGAATTCATTTTTTTTGATGCTAAGTGTATCGCAGATATAGCTAGTTAGTCGATTCATCAAGGTCGATCCGGACTTGGACTTAATGTTGTGGTTGTCAAACAGCTTCAGGATTTCAGGGTCCTTCCGCTTGGTCAATTCTTAAAGTCGATTTAGCTCGGCAAGGAACTCGAGGTCACGCTATAGCTGACAGACATATTCGAGGATGTTGTTATGATCCTTCTTAGCGGCCGCCCGAGAATAGGTTTTAAAAAAGGCCTGGAGCTGGGAGGGAGTGTCCGGGTGGTCTACGGCCTCTTCGGCGCGCTTGGAGCTTCGTGTGTCGGGTATATTACCTCGGTCTTGGGAGTAGCGCTCCACGAGTGACGCGACACGCTCCACGGCCTTAGGTCCGGTAAGGTCGGAGAACATGAAATTAGTGATCTCGATGATCTCGGTAGCCGTGAACCCCATGGTAACCCACTTATTGTTCCGCTGGATGGGGACTTCCAACGAGCGTAGACGGCGATAGAACTATATCCGCCTCTCCCTAGTGATGCTAATGTCCGAACGGGGTGCGATAAGTAGAAGACCATTTTGGAGACGCTTTTAAATGTAGACGTTGTCTTAGTCGTCGTTTTCGTCGTCGGTGCCGCCATCGCCGTCCTCGTCGCCTCTATACTCGTAATTTCTTTCGCTAGGACTTTGGTCGCCCCCGACCTCGTCATTACGATCACGAGTCCCCGAGTCGCTACGGTCACTCCTCTATTGAGCGGATTGTACGTCACGCGTAGATAGACGTCCTGACCCTGGCGCGGGAACATCGCGTGGCTGACCTTGTGTTCGAGCGTCGCTTTGTAAGGGTGTTCTAGCGGATAGATTATTGTTGCCTAGACCGCCGTCGATCACCGTAGGCATCTCTCGGGGACGTGAGGTAGTCGTTAGTATTGAATTAGAACGAACTCTCTCCGACGCAGATTTTTCCCCGAACGCCTTCGGTCTTTTAGCTGGCGGTACTGTATCACATTAGATAGACTCTATAGAGAGAGCATACTTATTAGCGATCATTATAGTAAATCGATAGAGTGATCGAGCCAGGGTAAGCTTTTCGGTAGAACGGTCCAGTAACTCCTTGAGATTATCCATAATCTAAAGAAAAAGTTAGTATCTTCTGCTAGAACCATAGTGGCTATCAATACCACTATCATCGTATCGTCGGGTTTACCGATATACTCTAAGTACTCTAGACGAGAGGATACCGCCATATTAGGTACGATATAGTCGATAGTCGTTAGACTCGTTGCGTAGGAACACTCGATGTGAGACCGAGGCCCAATACAAGTGGTGATAAGAAGGAAGGTCGCGAATAAACAACTTTCGAAAAATATTCGCCAAGAGTCGGTGTTCGATTAATCTTATTAGATAATCAAGTACGCCGTCACATAATGCTTATACTCACCGGCCGAGGCTACCTAGCTATTAGGTTTACAGGGTAACTATCTAATATAGATAGAGAATTAAAGACGTCTATATAATATCGTCGATAAGACAAGATACTAAAAGTAGCGTCTCAAATCCATTCGCACCAGCTTAAGGTTCGACTTCAAGGCATAGTCGTTTCGACTTTCGGCCGAACCTAACCTATCTACTAGGGGAGGAAGGGGTCGGTAACGGTCTCTTCTTCGTAGTAGTAACGAGTGACGTCGTCTCATTAGGAGACGTTGTTACTCTTAACGATCGGATATAGATCGCCGAAGAGCTCGCCTAACCTTCTTTAGAATTTAATGTGCTCTTCTGTGGTGACTGTATAACCGGACCCGACCGGCTAGAGGGTTACAATAGCGTCTCTTCCGAGTTCTTAACAGCTTTCCGGCGCGGTTTCGCGCAACGCGCGATCGACGAGCGAGTCTTAACGGTAGCGTGGGTCGAACGTCCTAATACGACCGTAGCGGTCGGAGTCGTAGTGTCTTTAGACTATGGAGAGGGTAGCAGATCTAGAGGGTATGGTCCAAAATGTAGAGACGCGGGCTTTAAGGTTTCCGTTGGAGTCTTTTCGATATAACTAGTCAGTACGGGAGACGGTATTGGGCTTTTGTTGATTAACTCGTCAATGCGACGGAAGAGATCTATTTCGTCGATCATATAGGAGGAGTCAGGAGTGGCGATACTCGATTCCGAGTGAGTCTCGCTAGCCGGTTCGCCTACCTTTGGACCGTCCTTATCCTACGGGAGGGTAGGTAGATATAGCAATTCTAGCACTTAACGATACCGAGGCGTAATCGTCTAAGGCGACAGCCGCGTAAGAGGAGTATTAGATCGACGTAACGGGTCGACGATATCGTTGTCGCGGGTCCTAGCATTCTCCCCCGAGCCGTGGTCGTCATGATCGATCGACCTTTCTCGATTCGGTGACGGTGGTCGTGCACCGTGGACCGGGCTAGGACGATCGTTGTTATCTCGCGTATACCTACTCTTCCATAACTTTATCTAATTGTCTTTCACTATCGGGGACGGCGGGAGACAAGACTACGCCATCTATATCTAGTGGGGTACGGGTAGAGTGTCAACGTTGGCGCTCGCGGGGAACTCTCGATAAGCTCGTCCGTAGACGACTAAAGTCGTAGTTAGCTACGAGAGACCGTTCGAAACATTAGGATACGCCTACCTTTAGAAGCTAGGAGCAAGACAGAAGCGCCGGAAGGGTCGTATTCAAGGAGTTGTTCTATATACCGGCGTAAGCGTTGAATAGCGGCTATAGGGATCTAGTTGACAGATTAGAATAAGATGGTAAGGGTCTTCGAGGTAGTACCTACGTTCTAGTGGCTATGACTATCCATTATCACTTATAGAAGGACGTTGGAATCAAGTCGAGGACGTTGGACGCGAAGGTAGAATTTAGAACAACAACGAAGAAAAGTGAAAGGCGTTGAGTGTACAGTGGGCGGGGTCTATTTAGGCAACCTTATCGTAGGATAGCGCCTACCCCAAACATATATACGCTGGCTAACTCTTTTCTACGGGAGCAGGACAACTTTACGAGGTGGGTATTAGCGAGCCGGCCCTCGAGGCTATAGCTGATATAGGCCTAAAGTATACCGAGTGGACACGAGCCACTGCCCAAGACGAGCGCCTATTATCCAACCTCTATTATATTAATATGATGGACATTAATATTATCCCGATAAACATATATTCATACCTACATCTATAACATCTTTCTTAATTTCCTATTTTTCTTCTCGTATCCGTGCTTTCCGGGTATCCGCGTCGCAATAGCCAAGCCCTTTAGGCGATCAGGTGCACCGTTTATACCCGGTAGCTTATAACCCGCCGGTCGAACGCGCTTCATACGGCGAGGTTCCTCGTTGTCCTCGTCGCTATTCTCCCTCGCTGACTTCGCGGCCTCGTTCGAGGTTAGGGATAGAGTAGATAACGTCTTCGTTCCCGTCGAAGGGACGCTCGCAGCCGGGCGAGTCGGTTCATCAGGAGGACACCGGTCTTCTGTCCGCTTCCTCGGAAGTGGACGGTTTATGATCGAGGGACAAGAGATTATGGCCGACCTTACGGTCGCTAAGGAGGGTAGAGGGATACGTCTAGTAAAGACCACTACTGTTGTTCAGCACCACGACTTCCGGGGTAGGGTTCCTAGTCGCGGTCCTACCTTCGTATACTAGACGGTAGACAGCCTCTCCGGTAGGCTTATAACGTATAACGGCGGCTAGGGCCTCTCGGAGACTCTAATGCAAGAGATTAGTAAAGGAAAGATAGATACTCGACACGAGATAGTATAGACCTCCTCTACAATCTAGCGACTAAAGGTTAAGGAGAAAGACGCGGCCATAACGAAATCGCCCGGATACCTAAGAGAAAGAGAAGTATAGATATAGAAGTAATAAGCTAAGGGGGAGGGAAAGGGATACACTATAGAAGTAAGGGGTAATATATACTATCGAGTAAACAAATACCCTAAAACCCTACCGTAGGCGCTTTAGGTTACGTGCCCGTAGCCTAGGGCGTCCACGACCGCCTTGGTATACCAGTATATACAAGTGGTAAAAGGATCACGTGAATACGTTTATTTTGGAATATCGCTCCCCAGTTTTCCAGGACATAGATTAGGGCCGTCGATAACTCGAACCGATATTGTACTACGCCTATCACCACAATGGATCCTAAAGTAATCACTAGTAACGACACAGATCGACTATCAGCAATGTCGTCGCTCCTATACGGCGCTCGCTATATTGTTATCACGAGTGCCGGGATCAGTCGCAGCTGCGGCCTTCTAGTACGGGACAAAGTCTCCGAGAGATTGGGCCATAGCAACTAATATTTTAAGCACAGGATTTCCGCTCACTAGGTGGTATATATAATACTAAGGCGAATACTCTTATCAACGACCTCTATAATGAAATCAACGTATTGCCAATAGCCGCCAAGGTTAGAGATCGAGACTTATTTGACGTCGATATACTGGCATAGCTAGCAACACAGCCCGTTTTCTATCAATTCGCCGTGGCGCTAAAGCATCGAATTTACCGTATTCGGGATAGCAGTCGAACGCACCGTTTCCTTCGACGGCTCAACGACCGAGGGCTTCTGATCCGCTGCTACACACAGAACGTCGATCATCTCGAGCAGCGTATCGGCCTGCACACCGTATAGACTAGTTCTGCTGCGTCGGACAGCAAAGGCAGTAGAGCAAGCTACAGTATCATTCAACTACACGGTAATATAATGTTACTACGCTATACAATATACGCATACCGATCGCCCTAGACGAACGAGATATAAAAAGACGTAAGTAAAGGCATACCGACGCCGTGCCCAGACTATCGGCGGTTACATACGGAGCGGGTAGCCAAGGGTAAACGAACCTGGACCATAGGCACACTACGACCGAATATTATACTGTACGGTGAAGAGCATCCCGACAGTACTTGGTTAGTAGAGCGTCAGCACGAGGATATCGAGCTCAAGCCCGACGTACTACTAGTGATGGGGACGGCGCTCAAAGTACCGGGCTGCCAGCAAATGGTTCAAGAATTTGCCCGAGTCGTCCACGAGCGTAGAGGGCGGGTGATTTATATTAACTACGCTAGTATGAATTGGAAAGGTGTTATCGACGACGATGTCCGTATAGCGAGTAATATATAGGTCACGGCCATCGAGGCGGAATGGATAGATAATAAGACGTAGGATACTAATATTATGGATAAAGAAGTCGTGCAAGACCACCCCAATACTAGTAACGTAGAGATAGACGAAGATATAGATAAAGAAGTCGTACAAGACCACCTCGAGACTAGTGACGTAGAGATAAACACAGATATAGATAAAGAAGTCGTGCAAGACCACCTCGAGGCTAGTGACGTAGATATAGACGAAGATATAGCGTTATTTTAGATAACCTCTAGGCAGCGCTAGCGGGCAGCCTTAGCCGGCCTACGATCTTCATAGAGCCGCACCCTTAGGTGCTCGAGCAATATAGTGCATACTATCCTTGACGCCTAGTACCGACCGCACTTTCTACCTAAAAGAAAATAGTAACGATACGGCACGATACTATCCCTAGATCCCACTAGCCTTGAATCCTTCGGATCCTCCCGTTGTTTTTCATACCGTCGTAGAGAACGTATTCGTCTTCTAGGTACTAGATAACGAGAAAGTGGGTGGCGAGGGCTATATCCTCGACTAGTACGGTATCAACGGCGCGATATAAAATTAAGCGTAGCTAGTAGCGGCGGTCAAGGTAAGTAATGATGATACCTTGGTATAGGTCGGCGGATCGAGTAGAGGGACTATCCACGACCCCAGCGACGTATACGATAAGATGTGGAGGCATCCTATCTAGGATTATAAGCTATATCGTTATAGAATATAGATATATCCCCTCGTTATAGGCGCAAAGCATATCTTTAGCCCGACCCGATACTTAGTCTATTGTCGGGCTGAACCGTGCTTGAATATAAGCACCGACCGATACTTAACCAATATAGATATAGTTGTTCCGCTAGGGTACGGTAGCGTTGTTAACTATATATATACCGTTATAGTATTGAGTTACCCTAACACTTATATAGCTTACCTACAGGACCCCGTAGAAGTATATATTGATGACGTTGGCCACGGGATTCCCCTTCGGTGGTGGATAGAAGGATACCGGGTCGAAACGATATAGCTCGTCACGGAGATAATCGCGTATCTTACTACGGGCGGTGTCGTCCAACTAGCCCCAATGCCGAGACACGATCTTGCGCATCAGGAAAGACGGGACAGGCTCCTTCAGGAGATCTTGCGAGCTAACTTGGTCGATCTATATCCTTCCAACGTCGAGTATCAGCCCGACAAAAATGGCACAGTCAACAGTACACGATAAGTCTAACTAGATTGGACCATATCGATACCTCTATTTCTCGTTGTCTCGACTCGAGTTAATAGTTCTATCTAGTTGATCCTACGTAGCTATAACAGGGCGAAGAATAGACGTCACGGTGCCCTCGAAGTACTGGAAATTCTTTTCTAATGGCACCGGGTTGATTCCTCGAGCGAGGGCGAGATAACCATAGCCACGGAGATCGCCTAGGCGAAGGCCGACTTTCGTGCAGAAGTTCTCGAGTGCTGCTCTACTCGCCTTTATATCCTGAACCGAGACGCCAGCACGTATAGCTCTACGGGCTTCGTTAGCGGTGAAGATAATAGGTGTTTTTGTACATACGCCTAGGGATTGCGATTAACCTAGTAGATTGCATCAATAGCTTCGATAAGGGGCATAGTTAGGAACCAGGGCAAGGAACTCTAAAGTATATCAGAAATATAAGGGATAGATAAGAAATAGGCAAAGAGTCAAACGTCGAGGTCTTACGGGAGGAAGAGTCGCGGCGATTATAAAGTAGAGCAAAATAAAGACTAGGCGTAGGGTTAGCGTAGAGAAGGGGACGTCCACTATATTAGTATACCAAGCCTTAGATAAAATGGTGTACTATATCCTTGAAAGCAAGTATACTTAATGCTGCGTACTTGGTACTATATACTTAGCGCTGTATATATGGTGCTATATACTCGATACTACGTATATACTATATACTTAATACTATATACTTCATACTATATACTACGTACTGTATAGTGTATAATGCATTATTGAAAGTATACTATACTTGGTGCTGTATAATATATACTAGATACTACGTACTTAATATTGTATATATAGTGCTATGTACTTCGTACTATATACTATATACTTAGTGCTTAATACTGTATACTCGTTGTATACTTAATACTATATACTCGCTCTATACTTAATACTATATACTCGCTATATACTTAATACTATATACTCGCTATATAGTGCTATATACTTCGTACTATATACTTCGTACTATATACTATATACTTGGTGCTATACGCTATATACTCGCTATATACTTAATATTATATACTCGCTCTATGCTTAACGCTATATACTCGTTCTATGCTTGATACTATATACTCGCTCCATACTTAATGCTGTATACTCGCTGTATCCTTAGTACTGCATACTCGCTAAATGCTTGATACTATATACTTAATACTATATACTTAATACTATATACTTAATACTGTATACTTAATACTATATACTGTATACTACGTGCTTGATACTATATACTTAATGCTGTATACTCGCTGTATACTTAATGCTACGTACTTAGTGCTATATACTATATACTGCGTGCTTAATGCTATATGCTTAATGCTGTATGCTTAATATTGCATGCTTAATGCTGCATGCTTAATGCTACATACTTAATGCTGTATACTTGATACTATATACTCGCTATATACTTAATGCTACGTGCTCGCTACATAGGCCTAATGCTATATACTCGCTGTATACTTGATGGTATATATCGCTATATACTCGATGCTAAATGCTTAAGGGTTAAGATCTAGGATTAAATGTTTCAACAACATTCCCCTATCGACAATCTTCCTTTACTTAGTCTATTATACTAATATAGTAGACCCTTACAAAGCGTATCGATCGATTAAGTCCTTCATACTAATACCTAAGGGTATTGTTTATAGAGTTTATATTACACCAGCTAGGGGTATAGTTCTTTCGTATCGACCTCTAATATACAATAATGGGTAAGCTCTAGTTAAGCCAGGCCCTTTCCTCACCCCTTGGTCACCACGGGTAAACGATTACACGCATAGACTTCTAACCCTAACGAGCTAGCCGCAACGGCGGTTGATACTATCCTTAAGCTTCTCTCAGTTCTCCGCGTCCACCATCTCGGCGTTGTCGTCACCATTAGTCTCGAACAGAGCGTTCTTAATCCGGCTTTATAAGTTATCTCCTCGTATAGTCGTAAACTTAACCTTAAGAGGTCTACCGTTTTTGACGGCGTTAATGATATACTAATCAAGGTTATCGTATATCTCTATAAGTGGCTCCGTACGAAGGACCTTCTATAAGGTCTTCGCGATAGTATTTACTTTGACCACGCTAAAGGGTCGGAAGCTAGGGTTATATCAGCACCGTTCAACAGGGGCTCCGAGGCATAGGGAGACTTACAAGGAGATAAAGTTAACCGGCATTAGGACAACCACGCCCACGCCCCAGCGCGACGAGAAAGAGCTCACCATTTACGCCTCTTGCAGCTAGTTGTTGAGCTGGTTCTAACCCAGTAGGCCCAGAACAATCTAGATATACTGCTTAATACGAGAGGTCTACCGACCCTTCATAGGTACGCCGACGGCTTGTACGGCTTCGGGAACACCCTTCAGGTTCCTCTTCCCGTACTTAACCAGCTTTAGATACTATTACAGGACTCGAACGCGGCCCAGGTTGCCCGTCAACGCCCAATGGAAATTGTTCGTCCGTAGCGTGGACTGCTCAGCTACCGCCTAGCCATCAAACAGCTCACGGGCTGCCTTCGGATATCGCACCTATCGGCTAGCCAGCCTAGCTCTTTCCGCTAGCGCAGCATCACCATCAACTGTATCGTTCCACCACTTAGTAAGGTTCACTATACGAGTATACGCAGGGGCCCCCAGTATATCGTGAAAGAGAAAGTTAGCAATACGACGAATATCCTTATCGTTGAACGTACTAACCCTTGGGGCGTAGGTCTTCAATCGACCTTGCTAGTCAAGGAAAACGATAGACTAGGACACGTCCACTCTCGCGAGTAAATTGATAAACTCGTCACGCCGTATAGTCATGGTTTCTACGTCATAGTCTAGGGTAAGACTTAAGGTCAGTTTACGAAGTTCCAGTCTACGAGCCTACTCTTTATCGTCCTCTACACTATCCGAGTCACTGTCCGAGTCACTAGCCGGATCGATACGCCCGCGGGTTCCGAGCTCGCGACCGTCGTCATCTAGCTCATTGTCCGACGCCGCGTCCAGCCGGTCTAGAGCCTCGCTAAGGTCGATCTCGAGCTCATAGTTCACGGCGCACCGGTCGGCAAAGTGAACCACGGCGATAAGGAAGGCTTCTTTCTCAAGGTCGCTTACGTCTTACAGGCCCGCGTCGATCTATCGTACCACCTATATAGGACAAGTATTAGTGGCCGCGTATACAAGTTATTGCGAGACGCGCGAATCTATCTTACCTAACTAATGATTGTTACTTGTTCCGCCTTCAGTAGCGAGTCTAGTGGGATAATCCTATCTTCGTCGGCCACCTACTAAGTCCGATTTCTATTTAGTGTAGTCGCCGCCATATCAAGGGGGAGAAGGCAATCGTCAATATCGTAAGAAGAATTGTGTTGATCAAGAGAATTAAAGCGAGTTACGATATCTTGCCGAGAGATAGAAAGGTGGGAGTATCCAGGAAAATTAATTGGGATGTCAATAACAACAACAACAATAGGCGTGTTATATCGGTATATTGCGCCAAGCCATCGTGAAAAATTGGGATGGCAACATGGCCCGAGTGTGCCATACCGGTATACTCAACCGCCAAGCCATCTACAGCTAAGGCATTTCACCCAAATTTTAAAGTCTAAGAGTTAAACGAAATTAATTCCTCATCGTTGTTCTTCATTTTATCTTATAGTTAAACACATTAACCCTTCTACTATCTACAAACGCGACTCTAACGAAATATCTAGTTTAAAGACTAAGGCGAAGGCCATCGTATAAACCTAACCTCCCCGCCCCCTCGGAAATATTATTTTCTTGGCTAATTTTAACAATAGATAAAGAGCCCAAAGACCCCCACCAAAACCAAAGTCGCCCGTTCCACCCCCACCAAGTCCCAGGGTACCTCGAATACGCCCAAGTCACGCAGTACGTTAGAGAGTACTGATTCGACTCGAGTATTTACTGATTGTTTGCCTAGCTAGAAGTACCAAGCGTCGTCGTCCAGAGGAAGACACCAGTAACACCTACTCGGACGAAAACGAATCGGAATCGTCTAGCTCCAGTAACATCAGTGGAACCAGTAAGACCAGTAAGACCAGTAAGACAGGTTCCCGCGTCTCTTCCGACGACGTCTTGTCTAACGCCTCTACCACCACCAAAATCACCTCCACCGAGAAGAAGCTAGAAAGAGAGAAGAAGCGTATTAAGAGCATCAAGTCGAAGGTAAAGGCCTTAAAGCGGAAGAAGGCAAAGGAAAAGAAGAAGAAGAACAAGAAGAACAAGAAGACCAAGAAGACCAAGGGTAAGAAAATCAGACAACGAGCTATCGATAAGGCCAACGAGGATATGGAGATCTACTCTACTCCTACCAAGAAGCCCAAAAAGGCTTGACTTAAAAGTTAGGATACTGCTACAGTGGCTGATCGAGTTCGTTTACCTCCTCGAACTAGACCTCGTACATAAGATTCTTAGAATTGGCTAAATAGAATGCTCATTAGAGACTTCAACCACACTCTACCTAACCTTTAGATCCTTCGTAATAGTAGGACGCACTCCTCGGTCACCTAATCAATAGCGGCCTTAGCATAAATTTAGCACCGTAAAGGTACTATCTTCCTACCCTAAATTTTCATAAACCCTATTCCACCTAGTTATCGTCCATTATTTAAAGATCGTCTAAAGTTTCGCGATATAGTGAGTCTATCAAATATTGCTTTCGATACACGATAGCGAAGGCAAAGAAGGTCAACCTTAACGATATTAAGAAGTCTATTCGTAAGGTAGGAAATTATCGAAGAGTATCATCATAACATACGTTTAACTTCGGTAATATAGGTCCACGCATTGTTACAGCAGTATATCAAAGGGGCCAAGGATAGTTAGGCAGCGCGAACGAAGGTCTACGAGTGTATTGCACGCTATAAGAACTGTCGTCCTTCTCTTCCCTCATACTAATAACTAACAATTTAGAAGGCTTAGAGGACGCCGAGCGAGACGACAGCAGCACCAACAAAGATATAGATAAGAGCGACAAGGAAGATAATAAGAGCGACGAGGAAGATAATAAGAGCGACGAGGAAGATAATGAGGGCAGCAGTAGTGACAATAAGCAATCTAGAGTAGAAGAGAGTGATAACAGTGCCGATAAAGTGAAGCCGAAGAAAAAGGCGAAGGTTACCTTTCGCTTATTAAAGGCCATACCTATCGAGTAGCCGAGCAAGAAGTCACTTAGTCGAACACTACAAGACACGGTAAAAGGCAAAGTCTTGTCAAGGCCCTACTCAACCAAGTTGATACCGAGCCTAACCGCTGGCAACAAACGCAAGCGTAGAGGCAAACACACGAAAGCAAGCAAGAAAGGTCGCGGCAAGAAGACTGGTGCCAAATCTGTGAAGTGATAGCTTCTCACCTAGCCGCAAGATGGAGCCGTCTAGCTACGATTTCGGCCACCATAACTCTTGGAAATAGGATAATAGAGTTATACCTATAGAGTATACCCGTTGTTTCATCTAGAAAACAATATAAATTGAGCCAGAAACGTTCTTGAACAATATCTACTATATACCAGTGATATCTTCGATTCCCCTCCCCTCCCCCCCCCCCCCAAGCATATTAGTCCAACAATCCAATAAGGTAAAATTTAGCCCATATACGGCAATCTACCACTAACAAGTATTGATCCAAATAGCTAAGCGAGCCTTTCTCGCCCTTTGATACAATATATCCCGCTCATCGCTATTATAGAAGGACTAGCCGGACCACCCTTCGGACGGCTTAGCCGTAGAAAAGGACGACGAGGGTTAGGATATCGAGGGGCTACTATATCAGTATGGTGGATTAAGGCAGGGAAGATTGTCGAGCATAGAAGGCTGTCGAGTGGCCTACCATATAAGTATAGTGGACCACGGCGGGGAAGATTGATTATTATATCGGTATATTGCGCCAAGGCCCGGAAAGAATTGAGATATATCAACACCGCAATATCGAGACCACCACCACTAGACTATTTTCTTTTTTATTAGACATAGTCCCGTCCACCCCCATTATACCATATATCGGTCTCTTCTCCAATCGATTCTTTCCATTATGCCATACCTCGTATTTAGCACCGACTGTCCCGTCTCACAATTAAATCAACTACGGCAGAAACGCTATCTATAGAATATAGAATTCCAGTTTAAGGAAGTCGGTAGTGGATATTATCGAGCGACTGTCACCATTGCATATTACACTAGCCACCCACAAACCCAGACGTTTACCGCCACTAGTGGAGGCAAGAAGTACGCGAAAGCCAAGGTCGCCTTAACCGCGATGTATACTCTTTAGTGTACCGTCCTCTCCGAGCCGAGTAGTAAATCCATTAACTCCCAACTCCGACTTAACCCTACAACACAACCTAACTAAGACCTTACTAGATAAAGAACCTTAGTTTCGGAACGATCTCCTCGAAAGCGGCAGCGAGTCGAAATACGAGTCGTCATTGTCCACCTCCATTACATCGTCCACCTCCGTTAAAGGTAATAAGCAACCCAAGTATTAAGAGAAGGCCAAGACCGTTACGGATAGCATCATCGATTTGATGACCTTTGATAAGGATAACTGAATCAAAAATTGAAGTAGAGATACCAGCGCATTCGAGAGCAAGTCAAAATATCCATCCAAAGTGCTAGAAGATCAGGAGGCGCTTTAATAAATTTATATCAATTATATAATCGTAGTGCCTTCTTCGGCAGCTTCATTTCTTAAGAGATTAACTAGATTATTCAACTTTGCTATAACGGTCGATTTTAATACTTACTACCCTATTATATAAATATAGTAGACTCCTCGACACTCGTCCCCCTCTCAATAAACTTCCCCTTACTACTTACCACCCTATCATATTGATATGGCAGTCTCCTCAACCTCCTTCCAGCCTCGAAACCACCCTAATTAACTCGAGGCTACCAAGTAGATCCCTCCTACGGTATAGTGACCAAAACCACCAATTAGGGGTTTATATATAGACCTCTTTCGTAGATTTTAGTCATTATCTTTAGGACAACTTCTTCTAAATGACAACATACGTAGAGGTAGTCAATCGGACTAGCATCGACATAGACACGAAAAGGGAAAAGGGAGCTAGACTTAACAGGCTAACTCTACACAATGCGGTGTAGGCTTTGCCTTTTATTATTCTAATCTAATGAAACCAATAAGATCTATACGCGTATATAAAGAATCCAGGCTCGAGCGCATAATCGACGAACACCTAGCAAGGTCGAAGTATTCAGCCCGCAGCACCGTCGTTCGCCATAGCTAAACACTACACGGCTTCAAAAGTCTCCATTATCTTCCTATATACCTATACACCGTAGTATACATCGTTACCCGCATTATAGGCGTTCTAGTTTAGGAGATAGTACGCAGCCATCATACGGCCCAAGCCAGTTAGCTAGGTCTCTCCTCTTATTGCCTAGTAGGCTTGACCGATATCGCAGATTTCGACTCCGGCCAGTATCTCGCCCACGTCGACGTTAACGTTACGTAGCCATTTAAGATCGTTGCCGATAGTGTAGCCCACGAGGCAGACATTGTTGGCCTATACCAGCAGGGGCTATATAATCCGGTATATACGCCCAGTGACGTCCTCCTTCTTGACGCGTTCGCTACGACCAAACAGAAAATTGTCCACCTAGTTATACCGGCCAGCATTGTGTAGGTAAGCATTTTCCTCGACGACTAGATAATGACAACGCTCCGAAGTGCACGGCTGGGATGGATGTGCCTAAGCAATGCCGACCTCTAAGACCTCGTCGCTCGAGGTGGAAATTGTTACTTCGAGGTCGATCGAGAGGATAATACGTCCTCCAAGCGCGGATTCCTTAAGCGCCTTTAGATAAGCCCCAGCCTATTCTAGCACTCTTTTTTGCTTCTTCGTTATTTTTGGTTCGATATCGACGACGTTAACCGTACCATTGGAGGAATATCTAGAATCCGTGTCGAAGAGAGAGATAAGAGCTGCTCGACGCGTTAATTACCACCTATCCATCGCCCTAAGTGGTCTAGGATATAGATGACTTACGCTCGTTGATCTTCTGCATCACTACGCCGGCGGCGAGCTTCTTTGCTTATAACTTCTTTAGTGCGCACGCCTTAGCCGCTAGTTTAGGGCTCCCGGCATCACTACCAGTCTTTACCGATACTCGGGCTTTCCATGCTCCTTCCACTTCTCCTTAGTCGATATAGACTAGGTGGTAGTAGGCCCTTTTGTCTACAAGGTTCTTTAGCTAAGAGAAAGGGTGGTCGGCCATAGTGGAAGGGGCGCGGGCAGGTGTATTTAAAGATATAACGGCTATGTCGGGGTATAAGAGGGTCACTAAGTTCAAAAAATAAGAAAGGTTATGGAATATAGTAGAGAAATCTAAAGAGAGGGTAGGAGTGCCTAGGGAAGTTAAAGACGCGCGGTCAGATGTGCAAATGTGGCGGCCAAAACGGTGGCCTTGATATACTGGTATGCCAAACCTCCAATCCCTTACCTTCGAACTTATGCTTGGTCGAGGTGTTTTTATCGCCCTACTTATTACTGCCTAACCACTAGACGAGATCTTTGACCACGAGCTCCCGGATCTAAAGACTTCGACGACAATAATCGCGCCAATTAAAGTATACCTTAACTTTTCGCGGTCGGGGCGGTTTAGTGGCTCAATAACCATCAGAAAGAGTAAGTGGCGACGATAAGTTATCAAAGGGACCTCGAGTAGGCCATATCTAACTGAGCGTTATACAAAGCATCACGGAAAAATATTCCAAATATCGATCTCTCCGCCCCCGCCTTAGATATCGAGACCCTCTATAAGCGAATCCCAACCACCTTATATATCCTCGAGCAGCTCGGTCGTCGAGCCATCAAACGTGGCGTTAACGCGCTACCCAACGAAAGACGGTTCGAGTACATCGAGGGCAAGGAATACTCCGTCTTCCGAGATTTTTAGGCGACTTAGAACTACGTCGATAGTACTATCCCTTTAAGTAAAGGTAATAGTGTGAAAAGATATCTCTATAGACCGGTCTAGTCGCAAAACTCCTGCGCTATTAACTACCTTATCTTTACCGGGAATATACTCGATACCTAGAGAGTACAGCTCGACCAGGTAACACTAAGCCGTCGACGAGAACTGCCCTTACCCAGTTAGGTTATACGGAGGGTATCGCTAAGGAAATGGGGTAACCTCAGCATCGAGAGTCGCGGGGCGGCTAGGGACACTCTCCGAACCGCCCTACACAACTACGACCCGGACAAATTCGGACCTGCGCCAAATCCTTTGCCCCTACACAGCGTAATCGATACCCTCCTGGCGGGTTTGCCCCAATGTTCTTATATATGCGCGCGGGTAGTCTACTACTGCGAC